GAGGCGAAAAGGTGAGGTTGAGAGGGATTTCATAGCAGCGTTCAGCTGCCTGAATGGGGGTTGAACGGAGGATGAAGCTGGACTGTCCCATCAACGGGCTCCAGTTGTACCAGGGAGGCTTAGGTTGGGTGTTGGGAAGAACTTTCTCACTAGGAGGGTGGTGACACACTGGGCCGAGCTACCCAGGGAGGTGGTGGAAGCGCCATCCTTGGGGGGTTTTAAGGCCCGGCTAGACAAAGCTTTGGCTGGGATGATCTAGTTGGGGCTGTTCCTGCTGTGAGCAGGGGGCTGGACTGGATGACCTCCTGAGGTCCCTCCCAGACCTCCTTTTTATGGCTGTCTGCACTCACACGGCCCGTGGGGGATTGGGAACAGTGCCCGAGCAGCATCCCTGGGCTGGAGACAGCTCTGCTGCATGTGCTTTTCCAGCCTCTTTTGTAGGGAAGCCTCCAGCAAAAGAGCCTTATGCAGCTCTTCTTGGCCGCTTGTGCCATCCAACTCCCTGTCCCTGCAAAACAGGACAGTGGCCTTTTCTCTACCTAAGCTGGATGCCACACTGCAGGCAGCATGGGGGGGTCAGTTCAGGCTGTGCTCAGATGTGGCCTGTGGTGGCTCTCATCATTCCTGTGAAATAATTCTGGGCTGTTGAAGCTCCGTTTGCATGTAAGGGACTGATGCCTGGTGGTCTCCCAATCCGCAGGTGACTCTCACAGAATTTCATACTGCACATCTCTCATTTAGTTAGGCTTATAACAAGGGGATCAAATTCATCCAGCTCTGTGGGCCAGAGGAGGGTCACTGGACTGGTCTGTGGCCTGAACTGGGACTGACCCCCTGTGCAGCACCCATAGCACTGGGTCCAGCCCACATGCTGCCAGCACAGGGAATGCACTGTCAGCATCACGCAGGCTAGCCACAACACTGCAAGCAGAACAGGGGGCCAGTCCAGGGTGCCACATGTCACCCATGTCCTGGACCCATTGCGCCAAGTGCAGTGCTGGGTCCAGCCCACACACTACGCATAAAACACATGCCCTGTGTTGGACTCATGTGCACAGTGATTCCCAGGGCCAGCATGTGCTGCATATGGCACATGGGGCTGGACTGACCCTGAGTGCCGTATGCCACATAGGGCCTGTGGCACAGCATCCGGCCTGCCCCTGGAGCCAGCGTGTAGGGCTGGGCTGGTGGGGCATTACATGCAGGGTGTGCTGTGTGCTGGGTCTGCAGCTCTGGGTCCAGCCTGCATACAGCATGTATGGCTGGGGCTAGCATGTAGGGTTGTTCTAGTGATCCCTGGCCAGATCATATGACTCCCTGGGTTACATATGGTATGGATATCTTTGATGTCCCTAATCTATAAAGTGCAAATTATCCTACTTGCTGCCTGACTTCAGACTAACATGACTAACTCTTTGCTTATGTGTGGCTAGGGTTGGGTCCTAAGTATAATTAAGTTTCTCAGTAAAACTTCTAATGTATTAATATTAGAGTTGGGTTTAAATTGGGGGTGTTTCCTTGAAGAATATCAACTTGTATTCTACAAAAATAAAAATAGTTTCAGCAGCTACATCTGCTCCAGAATCTCTTTGCTGTTGTTTCTTCTTTCATATTTTCCTAAATTTTGAAAATAAATATTTACCCAGAGGGAGAGAGATCCATACAAAATAAAAAGTTAATAATGTTTTTGTTCCTGCAATGTGATGCGCAGAGGTAAACTTGCCTTCATGTAACTCATTGCAAGATTGATAAATGGAATGGAAAATGGAAAAAAATATTACAAATATTTTAGCCTCTAAACTAGTGGTCTGCAACGTATATCCTGTGTGCTTGATTTGACCTGTGTGTGTCTGTGTGCTTGATCTGGCCTGCAGAAATTTTGGTCTGGCCTCCAGTGGCTCATGAGGCTGATAGCACATGGTGGCAGGAGCTGAAGATAAGGCGCCACCAGGGTCCTCATGTATACTGTTCATCCTGGAACATTTCTGTGCTGCATTCCCCCTCTCTCTTGCTCCCACTTGCTACTAATACCTCAGCCCTACCTGCTTTCTACCCTTGGTGCTGAATTTGCTTCTCAGCATGACTGTTAGCTATGGAAATCTGTAGCACGAGATAGCAATGGTAAGCAGAGACTCAAGTGGAGGGATGAGAGAGAGAGAGAGAGAGCAGGAAGTGCCGGGAATGTTGGAGATCGGTGGCCCATGACAGCAGCCAGGTTGCAAGCTGCTGCTCACCATTTGTAAAGATTGTTGACCCCTGCTTTAAAAGTCTTAATTATTACATAGGAGGTGACACGATAAATGTAAAACTTACTGGTTAAAAATAATTCAGACAACTGAACTCAAGTCGTTTAAATTTTGCAAAATAATTCTAAGGAGTTAATTTATATGAATCGCATTAGTAGGAAATTGTAGGTTTGAGAAAATGACAGTGATTAAGTTTTGACTTGCAGGCTTTTTTATGCAACTCGGTTCAAAGAAGAAATCCCAGTACATGATAAGTTTAAATGTTATGGCTACTTCAAGATTAAAAGAAGCTGAAAATAAAACCTTAAGTTACTATTTTACAAGGAAACTATTTGTTTAAAAGCAACTAAAAAAAGATTTTGTTTTGGCAAAAGATCTTTTGAAGTGTTAAGTCACAGAATTGTATGTGTTTTTGACTTGTGTGCGTCAACCATTTGAATGTGTAGTTTCCACTCAGTTTTACTATGTAGTATACTATAGGAATTGAGTTAAAGTAGTGGAGAAAAGTTATATCATCCCTAATTTCAGAAACATAAATTTAATTTATAAAATTAGAAGTCAGGAGAACAGGCCTTATGAGGAGAGGCTGGGAGACATGGGACTCTTCAGCCTGGAAAAGTGAAGGCTCGGGAGTGACTTGGTGGCAGCCTATAAATATATAAGGGGTGTGCATCAGGAACTGGGAGAATATCTCTTCACCAGGGCACCCCAAGGGAAGACAAGGTCTAATGGTCACAAACTGCTGGAAGGCCATTTTAAGCTGGACATGAGGAAAAACTTCTTTACCATCCAAGTCTCCAGAGTCTGGGATAGACCCCCCCCAGAAGTGGTGCAAGCACCTACTCTGGAGACTGTTAAGAAACACTTGGATGCTTATCTTGCCAGCATGATCTGACCCCAGCTGACTTCCTGCCCCTTGGGCAGGGGGCTGGACCTGATGATCTTGCGAGGTCCCTTCCAGCCCTAATGTCTATGAAATCTGTTATGTGTTTTTCTGCTGCATGGAGGGGAACAAAATAAAATAAATAGTGCAGGTAAGACATAGCATGTGTAAGGAGGATGGATTTAAAAGGAGGACTTAGGCATAAGGGGATTTATGCACACACTTTTTTGTCCTGTGACGTGCCAGAGATCCATCGCTTTGGAGCAGACTCAATTAATCGAGTTTGCTTTGTCTGTGAGCTGAGGTGAACTGAGCTGCGCTGTGTGCACTTGTATAAATGCAAAATGTGCGTCAGCATGCAGAAAATGGCGGTGGTGTGCTTTTGAAAAAAGGACTTAGGCATAAGGGGATTTATGCACACACTTTTTTGTCCTGTGACGTGCCAGAGATCCATCGCTTTGGAGCAGACTCAATTAATCGAGTTTGCTTTGTCTGTGAGCTGAGGTGAACTGAGCTGCGCTGTGTGCACTTGTATAAATGCAAAATGTGCGTCAGCATGCAGAAAATGGCGGTGGGGTGCTTTTGAAAACAAGCACTTCCGATTTTAAGTTACAAAACGTGCTGCTGCCATTTTCTCGGTGCTGAAGTGCATTTTGCCACTTTTATACAGCTGCAAGCATTGCACCGTCGGACACTTTTCAAAGTGTCTCATGCTGTGGTGCTTACATGTGTAAAAATGCTCTCTTTTAGGTATTCTGGTGCCATCTGTGTATTTTATATAAAAGCAGTCCAAGGAGTAGGGATGAACATCTCAGAAATCTTTATCACCTTCTAAGTTAGCTTGCCTGTGCTGTCAAGAAATAAACTTATGTGTATTAGTGAAGACAACTCAGTAGTATACCTAAGCAGCTCGGAGGGGACGAGAGCAATCAGAGCCTAGTTCTCTATAGCACAACTGAGCTAATTTAGGAGGTAATACTCCAGAACTCCCTTCTTTCAGCTGTGTAGCCTTACCAATGATTTACAGCGTCATATTACTTGTTGCTTTCTTCTCTTCTCTGAATCTTGAATTCTTTTTCACAGAGTGGCATAAGCTCCACAGGAGTGTCTCTTTTCCACCCTTCTCAAGTAGCCTTTAGACAGGGGTTTGGGTATTCTTCCAGGAGACTGGGACTCTGGGGTGGTGTCACAGAACTCATGAACAAATTACTGAAAGGTAAAATGAGAGTAGTGATTTACACTCCTCAGTTATTTCTCACAGTAAATTAAAGTTTACCCTGTGGTTAGTTATCCTGCTTTCACTGAAAGGTAAGCTATCGCTCTTCATTCCTGTTAATGAAGGAGAGGGAACTGCAGTGGGTTAGCTTTCATTTGTCATGTGGTAACAGTGAGTAAAATGGCAGTTAGCATGGAGTAGCTCAGTGGGGCCCAACCTCTTAGCAGACAAGCCACACATTAGCACCACACTTTCCCCATGTGCTACTCCAGTCCCCTTCCCTTAACAGATCTGATGCTCTGCTTTCTGCCCCTTGCCTTGTGCTTCATGACTGATCTGCTGA